ATAGGATACTGGCTATGTAATAGTATACATGTGATTGTATGTTATGAAAATGAAAATAAAAAAGTATACAAAAGAAAAAATAAATAAGAAAAAAAAATTTTAAAAAGGAAAACACGTATTTTCAAAAAAATATGGAAAGCAGAAAATAATTTTATGGTTGGGGGTCACCACAACATAAGGATCACGGCATTAGGAAGGCTGAGACCCACAGCTCTAGAGCATAAGGTTTGCGTTGGAAAATTCTTGGACTAAATCTCTCCATTATTTCACCACTTATTCCTAGATGGGCTATTCTCCCTCCATCTTAGTCCTTTCCCTGCCTGTAATCTGGAAGTAATAATTGTTGATAAGAAAGACAAGAAGTCTGAATAGTGGACATTGTAGTTCCTGGAGAACAGCAGAACAGAAGAAAAAGAACTGGAGAAAATCACAAAATACGAAGACCTACAATAGAAGTAGAATGGCCATGGCAAAAGAAAACAAAGATAGTACTAATAATAATGGGTGCCTTGGGAACAATCCCAACACAAATTGAAGCACAACTTGAACACCACCAATTTAAATGCAATTGAAAACCATATTTTTTTAGTTCTTTTAAACATAAAAATAAAATGTTCAGAGTTTGCTTTGTTTCTCCCATGGAGACTAACAAGAAATTGGTTTACTTATTACTAGGTTTTATAGTTATTATTTATATTCCATTGTGTCCTTCCAATAAAAGTCAATTCATCATCCGTCAATTACAAAAAGCAGCTTTACTTGGAACCCCCCAAATCCTGCAATGATACCTTTAACACCATCAAAGGATATCTGCCTATCCCAGGTCCTTGGAAAGGACTTGATAGGTGGATAAAAATGCCCTTTCCAGTCTAAACATCTAGCTGATTGTGCAACCAACAACAATAATGGCTGTTTTAAGAACTAGGTAACATAATATTGCATTCAATGAGATCACTGTAGGAAAACAAAGCACTACTGTTATTATACTCAGATTTCCTAATTTCCTTTTATTTTTGGATGGATCGCCTTCTGCCACATACCTCCCAATGACCAATAAGATCTCACAGGTTGGGCCTCCTCCGGGTGCCGTCGGCCGGACAATGCCGGCTGGCGGCCCCCCGGGGGAGGGCCTTCTCTGTAGCTGCACCGGCCCTGTGGAATGATCTACCTGTAGAGATCCGGACCCTTACCACTCTCCCGGCCTTCCGTAAAGCCACCAAGACCTGGCTGTTCCGGCAGGCCTGGGGCTGTTGATTAATGTCCAGCCCCACTTAGACTGAACGGATGGTGTGTAATTTTAACAATTGTATTTTTTACTTTTAAATTTTTAAATGTTTTTTTTTTATCTTGCTTGTGAGCCGCCCAGAGTCCCAATGGGAGTGGGCGGCATACAAATT